TCAACATAAAAGAAGATATTTTGAAGAATATTCGTAACCCCAAGAAAGTTTCTGGTCCCTGTTGACTCCAATAGTGTTTTTTTTCATACTATGGAAGTCATGGGGACACAGAAACTGTTTGGTTACCTGTAGGCTATTGTTCCAAATAACATTTGCATTCAACAGCAGAAGGAAACTCATTCAGGTTTAGAACAACAACAACATAACTTAAAATTTTGGGTGAACTATTCCTCCAAAGCAGCCTAATATAGCTGCTGTTGCTATTTGTGTACAATAATGTAAATTGAACATTAGAAAGAAAATCACTTACTGTCCTTGACCGAATCGCTTTTGTAAAATAATGCATATTGAATTTATGCAGTGAAGACTATTCAGTCTATTTGCAGCCTAGTCTATTTAATATTTCTTATTCAGCTCTTTACGTGAGCTGTAGGTTGTAGGTCGATTTCTTTGTTCTGTTGTAATTCATGACTGTTTACTTGTCTTCAGTACGTTTGTTTTTACTTAGGCTAGTATTTTCTATTTTGTGATATTGGAATTGGTAACAAGAATTGTGAAATTGCAATGCATCAAACATTTTGATTGGATAAAAAATTCTATATTAAGCTATATATATCATTATTGTGATGGGGGGGCCTGTGAGGTTTCTAGCCCCGGGGGCCAGTGAGGTCTTAATGCGGCCCTGCACACACACACACACACACACACACACACACACACACACATATATATATATATGTGTATATATATATATATATATATATATGTGTATATTAGTGTTTTATGGCAATTACTGTCCTAACACATGTAAATGTTTCAGTCTTTTTGTAGAAAAATAAGCTCTACATAATAATGTAAAAATACCTTGATCTAAAACAGCCTTCCTTTTCTTCTGACATCACAAAATCCATTCTGGTAGGCAATGCCCACTTTTTCAAATCCCAGCCCCACTTTTTTTTTTTCTAATTATATAGCCGGTTTCACTCTGAAAAAAGACATTAGGTAAGTTATATGTAACGCGGATGCCATTTCATGTTGACTCTAACCAGTAGCATATCTAATTATATTTACATTATCATCTGCGAGTCCTCTTTACAGGCACACCAGGATAATTAGTCCATCACCTGCACTGATTGTACCTACAAGGTTCAAATCCCTTGCTGGCGAATGTCTGATGAATATACATGGGTGGCACTGCATCATCCTGACAGGACAGTGGTTGCATTGCCCTCTGTAAAAAATTAAGCATTCATTATTCTCTATTACACTTTAGTCCCAGAAAGATATAACCACCCACGCTGGAGGGAGCGATCGGCGGTGGGCAGGGAATGACCCGCTGGCAGGGACGGCGAACACAACAGCTGTTGCTATCAGCAAGCCAAACCCAGAGAGCACGTTATGACATTGTGTCCCGGTCTGTCCCCCAGCCCACATTCATCGTCTAATAACATTTTACAAATCCCTGCCCTGCTTGAGAGCAATTCGTATTATTTTTGCCACTGGGGAAGATACATCTTTATTTATTGTTATTAAAACAGGAGAACCCAATAGGAGAAACAGCTTAATTTTTGATTTTATTTGGAGGACATCAGTCTTCCTTTGCTTGCGTCATAAATTCTGGTCCTCATTCTGCTTATTCTGGCAAGGAACTGCACACTGAGACAGGAAAATACCTTCTAATTAGCATATAAAGCAACTATAAGTCTCTTCTGCTAACCAAGCCTGCGTTTATTTGATTAAAAATACAGCATAAATATAGAAATTCTGAAATATTATTATAATTCAAAATAACGGTTTTCTATTTGAATATATATTAAATTGTAATTTATTTGTGTGATGCGAAGCTGAATTTTCAGCATCATTACTCCAGTTTTCAGTGCATGATCCTTCAGAAATATGCTGATTAGCTGAGCAAGAAACATTTCTGATTATTATCAATGTTGAAAACAGTTGGGCTGCTTCA